GAGAATTGAAAAATACATATCTGTTACAATTTATTATGACAAAAAAAATTAAATAAATAAATATTGAAATACAAATTTTGCTTAACATCAAAAACTTAAGATTTCTATACATTTTCAGAAGATTATTTGCGCAATTATTCTGTAAATAATCTTATACACTGACCACCATATTTTAATTCATATTGAATACGATTAAAACATGGATGTAAACGAGAAATATGATCGAGTTCTTCTATTGTCATTACACATAGAAGTTCACAATCAAATTGATAAAGATGAATAAGACGTCGTTGAAGAATAGAAGCTAATTGTTGTAAAAATTCATATGAATGATAAATTCCATTTGAAGCTATTTTAAATTTTTCTAAATTAGGTGTTTGTTGAAGAAAATGATTCATTTCCATAAGTGATGGACCATCCAAAACACAACAAATATCAAATCTTTTCAAATTTGAATGTATAATATCAATTGATAACAATTTTTCTCGATTAATTAATCCATTATTTGAATATAAAGATAAATCAACCGAACTAAACCAAACAGTTCGAAGTGTAGATGAATTCGACCAAATTTGTCTATAACGATTTGATGAAACAACATTTGTTTCATGATGAAATATACATGTTTGTAATGAAGGAAATTGTTTACAATGAAGAATTTTATATAATATACAACGTGATAATTTATCACTCATAATACCAAATTCTAAATGAATTAAATGAGGAAATTTAAATAAACATATTTCTTCTAATTGATCATCTGATGGACTATTTAATATTAAGAAATGTAAAGAAGGAAATAGTTCAAAATCAATATAACTTGAATGATCAACAGTTAATTTAATTATATACGTTGTAAATAAATCAAAAAATGGATCATCGATTTCATCAGGTGATGAAAAAGTCAATGCAAGATTTTTATTTGAACATACTATTGCATTTAATCGAGAATTTAAATCATAAAACGATTCATATAAATCATGTATATCAAGATATTCACATATACCAAGGATGATTTCATCTGGTAATAATTCAAAAATTGATTTCGATTTTCTAGATAAATATCATGACACAAT